ATTCATTTTAATTTTAACCAAGGAGGTAGATTGACAATACAATGAAAAATATATACTATGTAAGCATTCTTTTTTATTTTTGGTGGGTCGTGGGGTTTGAACTCTGGGCCTAGTCGGTGCTGTCCCTCAGCTCTTCAGCTGAAGACTAGCACTCTCTCACTTGAGCCACAGCACCACTTCCAGACAAAACTGTTCTGTTTGTAGCCATGACTACTATATGCAGCTAGATCACTTTATCTTTTCCCGTGTGATATCTGGAGTTTCCTCTGATTCCTCAGTGCATTCACTCTTAGCTCAATTGTCTGTACTTTTAAAATGACAGAATAATGTTCAGGATAATTTAGGCTCCATTAGTGTTTCATGCATACCTTTATTACAGCACTTACTACATCATCCTATAATTTTTTTATTTACATATCTGTCTCTACCACTTGACTTTGAGTTCCTCTAGGGTTTAGGTTATGACTTAACTCATCTTAATATTCCACCTCTTCCTCCACCCCCAACAGCTGAACGCTTTGAACGTAAGAGGCATTTAATGAATGAGCCATCTTTGTAGTAAAGCTGGGTAAACAGGTACACCTGATAGTCACAGATACATTTCTTGAACAGATACTGCATTATAATTATTTCTTGAATTTATGAACAAAAATTGTATGTATTTACGATGTGATGTTCTGAAATATGACTAGATTGTGGAATGGCTAAAACAAGATAATTAACATATGCATTACTTCGTATATTTAGTGGTGAGGATTAAAAATCTACTGCCTTAACAGCTTCCAAGTGTATATTTTATTAACTATGGGCATCATAATGTACAATAGCTCTATTGAATTTGTTTCTCCTTTTGAAATGAAATTTCATACCATTTAGCCGACTTTCCCAGCTACTTTCCATCCCTCCTCTCAGCCTTTACTATCATTCCACCCTCTACTTCTATAGCTTTTATAGATGTTTCAGATAAGACCATGTAGTATTTGCCTTTCTGTGTCTGCTTTATGTCACTTAATATAAATCCTCCAGATTTATTCATGTTGTTTCAAATGGCAGGATTTCTTCCTATATAAAGGTTCACTACTATTCATTCCATTGTATAGGCAACACATACACATTTACTTAGCTTGCTACTTAGCATGAATCTAGATCATGGCTGTTGTGAATAAATGTTAAAACAAATATGGGAGTATGAATGTCACTATGATATGCTGATTTCCTTTTTGTAGGATTTATGTCCTGTATTTGGGGCTGCTAGAGTATATAATGGCTCTACTTTTAATTTTTTCAGGAGCTTCTGTCTTTATTTTCTGTAATATTGCATTTCCACCAACAAGTATCCAAGGCTCCCTTTTCTCTACAACTTCACCATCACTTTTTAAAACCTTTTTTTTTTTTTTTGGGTCCGGTCGTGGGGCCTGAACTCTGGGCCTGGGCTAGCGCTCTACCACTTGAGCCACAGAGCCACTTCTGGCTTTTTTCTTTTTGCTTATGTGGTGCTGAGGAATCGAACCCAGGGCCTCATGCTTGCAAGGCAAGCGCTCTACCACTGAGCCACCTTCCCAGCCCACTTTTTAAAACCTTTGTGAGAAATAATAGCCTTTCTGACAGAATTGAGGTGATATCTCATTGTGGCTTCAGTTTGCCCTTCCCTGGTGGTTAGTAATGTGCAGGAATTTTTATATATTTGTTGGCCATTTGTATGTCTTCTTTTGAGAAGCCTCTATGTGGGTCCTTGGCACTTTTTCAAATCAGGTTATTTATTTATTATTCAACAAAGTATTTATGAAATACTGTGTGATCAGGGCTCTGCTATGTTCTAGGAATTCAACACAGTATCTATGAACTCTAAGACATAAAGGCAGATTTCAAAAGTTTGATTCATATTCTTCACACAATTTAGGGTTATAGAGAAGACAGAGGAGCCAGTTTAGCATTCATGGTCTGATTGAGGAAGTGTTTGAGGAAGGATTCCTGGAGAACGGAACTGCTGAGCTTCATCTTAGAAGATGATTCTGAGATAGAGAGGCAGACATGTTGAGAGAGGGGGAGGAGGCCGGAGGAGTACAGTCACTGGGGAAGACCTAGCCAGGTATGGAAGACCTAGCCAGCTCCATCAACGTGTCTTATTGTTATTATTTTATGTTTTTGTCTCACATTCCTGATAGAGGATGAAGCTAGGGAAAATATCAAAGCCAGGTAGAGGCAGGCAGTTTATTAAAGTTATGGACGCAAGATATGCCATAGCTGATGCTGATATAGGAACATACACCAAGGAAGGATGTGGCATTTCAGAAAGTACCGCCCTAGAACTGGTGAAGAACAGAATGAAAAATGAAACTAGGAGCAAGAAAAATAGAGATCGTTGTGATGGTACAAGCAAGAAATGGAGACGACTTGAACTAAGAGAATGAATGGGACTGTTTTGAGCCTGATTTGGGAGATGAAGCGTTGGAATTTAGTCATTGGTTGGACTTGAGGCACACAAAAGAGAGAGGAGATGAGACAGAAGGGTTGGTGGAGCCATCCTCAAGACAGAAGACAGAAAGCCAGATTAGGTGGAAATGAACTCAGTTTAGAAATGTTCAATTTGAGATGTATTGACTCATTCATGAAGTTTCACAATTACAGGCAGCTGAAGGTATTTGAAGCTTGGAGGGGATGGATCTAGGGGTTATAATTTGAATGGTATAAAACCGAATGGTAGAAGCCGTGACTATGAATCAACTGCTCAGGCAAATACGTAGCATGAGGGCCTGGAGCTAGACCAGTTCCCTGAGAACTATCAACATAGAGGAGCAAGTAGTAAAAGAGCTCACTGAAAAGTCTTCAAGACTAGCTGTGTCAGGAGTATATGGAAAGCCTCTCTTGCTCACAAGAGGCTTCCCAAGGGTTGGCTCCCTCCTCCCAACCACCTTCGCTCCTCTTTTTCCTCCAAACACATCTATGTGTTTGGGGTTTTTTTCTGCAAAGAAATTTCCATCATTACAAAACAGCTTCTGATATTCTTCTTGTTTGTTGCCTGTGTCCTCTGTCACAATATAAAATAAACATCATAAGATTAGGGATTAGGTTACTCTTACTCCCCAGGTCATCTTTCTGGCCTCATTAGTGCCTGTTAAGCAAGTATTTGGCAAATTAGACTCATTTTCCGGTCTTCCTTACTCTTGAGGGTAAGCCATGGTAAAGAAAGTCACATTTATTAAGGAAATTTCCTACAAGTGTTCAAATCAAAATGGGAAAAATGCTTAGGCTTATATTTTAAAATATTTCCTGTGCAAAAATAATTAAATTTGTGTCAGGCTTTTTTTTAAATTTGTCTGTGAACAATGCTCACTTCACTCCAATTATTTCTCAATATGACACAAGTCTTCCAAATTCTTGAAGAAAGGAGAAAGGTAGGTAATGGGCAGGTTTTCATATGTATTAGTTTAAATATTGTATGCCTCCTAAAACTCTACCTGGTTTCTTGGTTGGAAAGCTGGGCAGACTTCTTCATAAAAATGTATCTGGTAACTTATCTGGGATACAATAGATGTGAAGATGGTCACATTTTAGAGCTCTCTTTTAGGCAGAACTTTTATAGAAGGGTTTATAAAAAATATGGATACTGAGTTTATATTGTATAATGTTATATGCCATTCTATGTGTATATTTTCTATTGCTATTTATTAAAATGCCAACAATTAACTGATGTCAAACATTTGATCTCTTACAAATACCTTGGAATAACCATATCAAAATTAATGAGAGGTTTCATCTGTTGCCTTTGTGAGAAATGACAAGAAAATTGTCTGATAGTAAAAGGCCAGTCTTCATGTTTGGACACAATATCAGAGATTTGGTCTTTATCTCCTCTCCTTTTTCATGTTTGCCTCAATCTTTACCTATTTGTGTAAACTTATGCTCAAGGTTATTACAGAAAAGGATAAAATCAGTAAATCTATTGTGTCTCAATGAAAACAAATTATGCTAAAGGACACAGCATAATAACTCATAGGTACCCTGTTACAAAAAACATCTCTGACCTTTTCTTGAATTTTTATGATGAGAATAAAGGAATAAAAGGGACTGGGCAGAAAAGGGCATATTGAGTTAGAGCATAGGCAATGTGCCCGTTATTATTATTTTTTGTGACAGTCAGATACACTGATTAGAGTCTATACCTCAGCTCTCATCCTCATTGGTCATGAAACACATGCTTTCAGTGGTAAGTTCATAGTACTGACTTAAAGCGATTAATGTGTCAACAATGCTTGGCAAGTAGTAAGCCTTTTTTAAAATACTTGTTCCCATTATCATTTGCAGTTTTAGCCCAAGCTGTATTTTGCATAAGGTTATTATGTCACCTGTGTTTTGGATCATTCTTTCCTTTGGGAATGATTATGATCTGAATGTGTCTGCTTAACATGTCTGTGTTGAAACCTTCACTCCTAAGGTGATGGTAAGAGATGCTAGGATTGGAGGGAAGTGATTGGATCCTTCAGGCAGTTTTTCTCATTCCCCCATCTACAAACCCAAAATTATCTATCACCAGACACAGAATCTGCCAGCACCTCAATCTTTGACTTCTAGCCCTCAGGCCTGTCATAAAATATTTATAAGCCTCCAACTGTGTGTTTTGCTATAGCAGCCCTGACAGATGAAGACCTAGAAACTCTGGTTCCATTGCTGGCTCTGTCTGCTCTCCCCCCCATGAGCCGTTCCTGATGTTTGGCATTTACTAGGTGGGTTTGGTTTTGGTTTTAGCCCTCTATGTTCCCTCTGTAGTTCTTTCTCCAAGTTCTTAAAAGACTTGGCGAAATCGCCAATAACACCAACACCAAGTAGAGACTTACAGAACAGTTCTGGGAACAGCTCTCTGAGGAATTTGTTCAACCGGCTGAGTCAGTTGCCCAGGGCAACCAGTGAATGATGTCACAAGGCCTCACAGTGCTCCTGATCCCCTTCTGCTGAGGCTGCTGAGACCAGAGGCAGGAGCAGAGTCCTGCACTCTGCCCGGCCAAATCATGCCTTGTCATCTCCAGGGCAGCACAGACATTCTGATGCCCTCTCAGCAATGCCTACACTCAGGTATTTGTGCCATGGCTACTTTCCTATAAGCTTCTTCCTTCTGGGTACAGAACTGTAAATGTAAATGCAGCATCTGAGAACTCTTCGTTTTCTAATGTAAAGATATGAGAATAAGGGCAAGAGAGAGAAGGAGACAAAGACAGACCGAGACATAGAGACAGAGAGAAACAGAGATGGATCCTTGGTTTTGTTCCCTGGAGGGTCAAAGGTTGTTTCAGTCTTTTGAGAGCCTCAGAGATCTCAAGAACAAAATACAATTTTTCCTTTCTTCTTAGCATCCTCGCTGTCCTAGGTACCCTATGTTTCTTAACAACAGGTAAAAGGGAACATTTCTATGATCAGAATCTGTTGGTATTTCATAATAAAGTCATCTAATTATGCCACCAACCCCAGGACAAAGGGCAGCATTTGCTTCATTCTTCCTTGAAGCCTAATCTACAGATTTTCTATCATTATGTAAATATATGTATCGGAAATTGCCTTGAAGTTCATCAGGACAATTGCTTCTTAGAGAGAACCAAACTCCAGACTGTGTGGAACTCAGTCTCAGATGGGTGTGTTTTTCAGCTCTCCAACCCACATAAGACATTAGGCTTGAACACAGAGGACACCACAAAAGACTCCAGGTATCACAGCATCCTGGTCAGAGGTCTCCATGACGAAGACATCAACATGCATATACCACTTTCTCGTCTTAAACTGGTATATTTTTCTCAATTACTACATCCCACAACATGGAACGGATCATGAGAGATCACAACTCTTTCAAGGTGGTGTACAGTCCAAATACTTGACGCTCCTGAATCTGGTAAGTCTATATTCTCATATCAGGAATCAATTTATTGATCCATGGTATACTTTTCTTCTCCTTATATCATGTTTGGATTTTTACTAAATACAGAATTCTATTGTTTGTCTGTTGTTTCCCTTGTTGGTAAATTGTGTCTTTTATTTAATTTTCCTCTGAAAATCCAGTTTGGAAGTTATCTGAAGCTACTGGGCTGATTGGGTTATGTGACTTGTTTGCCTGTGTGCTGTTGATACTTGGTATAGGATTTTTGGGAGCCTGAGGAGTGGCTTATTTTTATGCCAATGCTGGGGGTCCAGCACAGAACTTCCTACAGGCTAAGCAAGTATTCTACCACCTAGCTACATCCCTAGCCCTGGCTACTTGTTAATGCTCTTTCGAAAAGAATCTCATCTGGGAAACCAGATAGGGTATCAAAGTAATAGTTTCACCATTGGCTTGACTACAAATACAAAAGATTTTGAACCTTACACAAGAAAGTCTGTGAGGAGAAGGCAGAGTGGCAGAAGGCAGCATGTTGTGTAGGAAGTGTGATTTCCAATGGAAGAATAATGCCATCTTAACAACACACACAGACTAACAGATTTATCTAAGAAAAGCAAACACATTTTTTTCCATGCTCAGCCCCCACTTCAATTTTTTATAGGCTCAAGTTCCATCTGAAAGGACAAATCACCCCCACTGAGTAGCAAACACAAAGTTCCAACCATTTAAACACCAATTTTAGAATGCAATCCTTTCTTGTCTTCTTAACCTTGCTGACCACATACTGTTGAATTAACCTGATTTCAGAAACTGGACAGAATATGTCAGGCCTTTTGTATCATAATCCTTCCCCATTTGACAAGGAGAGCTTATCTGTGGGTCAGAAAAAGATACTGAAATGCAAAGGAGAAAAAATGGTGTGAGCTCAAACTAAAGAGGCCTAGAGGTATTGCTCGTCTTCTCATGGTCAAATCTCATGATTTTTAAAAATACGCTTTTTATTGTAAAAACACTAAATTGTAAAGTTCCTTTTTCAACATAGTGTCTTGTACATCTCATTGTTCCAATGAGTCAACATGTATCCCTATTTAAGCATTTTGTTTTCCCCTTCCCCTCGCCAAGTTGGAGAAGTGTATATGCAAGATGCAGGGCACTGACATCAAATATAGTGAAAACGGGTTATACGGTAGGGGAGGAACATACAGAGAAACAAAAAATGGAATTCTATGCCTCCATCAGAAAGAATGGCATTGCCCCATTTATTAGGAAATGGAAAGGCTTGGAAAAAATTATATTAAGTGAAGTAAGCCAGGCCCAAAGAACATAGGTCCCATGGTTTCCCTTATTTGCAATAACCAGTGTATGTCTGAGTCAAGCAGAAAAGGTCAGATACGTTGATGTTAGGGAAATGAACCCCAAGGTAAGTATTCAGGTGTTTTTTTATTTCATGCAATTGTTTCTAACATATTTATAAGATGATTTTTTGTTGCTTTGTATGTCCCTCACCCATGGTATAACCCCTGCTTTGACTATATTTGATGTTGGTATAATTTGTGGAGGGGAAGGGAAAAAACAAATCTTTCAAATAGGGATACAGGTGGGCCCATTGCAACAATGAGATGTACAAGTTGTTACGTCGAAAAATGAACTTTACAACTTTAGGGGTGGCGAGGATAGGGTAGGGAGGGTTGGGGGGATGGGAAGGGATGGAAGGGGAAACAAAGGAGGAGGCAACAATGCTTGATAAGAAATGTACTCATTATCTTGCCCATGTAATTTTAACCCCTCTGTACGTTTTTTCACAATAAAAAAATAAATAAATAAAAATTAAAAAAAAACAAAAAAATCACATGGTACATTATAAATACATTAGAAACAATAGCAAGAAAGAAAAAACTATTTGTGTCCCTATCTTGGGGTTCATTTCGCTTATTATCTTATCTGGCCATATGTACCTAGCTTTTGACCTTTTTTGCTTGTCCCAGACATATACTAGTTATTGCAAATAAGGGAGACCATGAGACCTATGTTTCTTTGGGCCTGGCTTACTTCACTTAATATAATTTTTTCCAAGTCTTTCCATTTCCTAACAAATGGGGCGATGCCATTCTTTCACCCTGAAAACTTTGAGCTCTGAACATAGCTCCAGGGTGTTAGAAAATACAAGATGATTGCTTGCTGCCAATCTAGAATTTTATGAGAAAAATAAACAGAATATAAAACAAAAAATCCCATGTTTATGGAATGCTGAGTCCTTTAGTTTTAAATGTAGTTTGTATCTCTCATTGGCTTTAAAACTCTGGGTGGCTATAATCCTACCTACTCAGGAGGAGGCTGAGATTTTAACATCCATATTAAAGCTAGCCTGGAAAGGAAAGTCCATGATTCCCTTTTATTCAATTAACTACCAAAAAGCTAGATGTGAAGTTATGGCTCATGTGTAAGAACACCCATCTTACTTGAGCATAAAAGCTCAGGGACAGCATCTGGACCCAGAGTTAAATCCCCAGGATCAGCACACACATACACACACACACACACACACACACACACACACACACACACACACACAAAACCCACAGAGTTAAAGCCCCAGGATCAGCACACACACACACACACACACACACACACACACACACACACACACACACAAAACCCACAAACAACAAAAATGACAAAAACACACCAAATGGAAGAGGGCTGGTACTGATGCTGTAGAAAAATCCAATACAAATGTTCAACCTCATAGAACTGTGACTAAGCCTAGGAGGCTGAGATCCAGAGGACTGGGGTTCAAAGTCAATGCCAGGCAGAAAAGTCCATGAGAGTCTTTCTCCAAAATAACCAGTAAAATCCAGGATGGAGGTGTGGTTCAAGTGATAGTGTTATCCAAGTAAAAAACGCCAAGCATTAGGCCCCCCGTTCAAACTTGGCTACAGTATTGTTTAAAAAAATATATGGCTTTGGTGATAGATTAATTCTACTGTAAGCCAGTTCCCTGATGTCTTAATTCTAGCTCATGTAAGTGCTCAAGGCTCTTCATCCCCTAAGATCTTGTCAATGATACAATCATATCTGGGTGTTGACCTAGTTTTTTGGCCTATCTAATCAGCTGCCAAATTGCATTAGTTCTTCCTCCTGCCAAGTGCAGGTGTATCCCTTCTTCTCTGATCTTTCTGTTTTCCCCATTCCAGACTCCTGTATGTCTATCTGGATGAACTCACTCTCCTCTTCCTATTCATTCATCACTCAGACTCCAGAGTCTTTCCAAAGTCTCTCTCTCTCTCTCTCATCTCTGTCTCGTTCTCTCTCTCTCCTCTCAGGATCTCTGTCTCTGCTTATGTTTAGCATTATCTAATCCATTTCCTTCTCCATATTAAGAGTCTTCAACTCTTAATTTGATCAAAACCAGGAATTTTATTTTCTGGGTTCTTGCTAACCCTTATTAGCTGACATTTCTCCCTTGTGTTTGCCACAATGGTAGGTGTAAAGGACTCAAGGAGGGTGTTTAGCCACAACAACTTGACCTACAGGTTCCTGGGATTGCTGATATTTCCCCTGTTGAAACTAAACTTCATTCTGAAACTTTGTCAGAGGTGGCATCATATAGCTGGCGTCTCCAGGAAAATTTTGGGGTGATCCCTTCAGTCCCCATCTCCCCTGACTGTCTCCCTTTGGGAACAGAGATAAGACCTTCCGCTCCTCATTTAAAGGCTGCCCTCTAAGCCATCAGCAGCTCTGACCTCTTTTCCTCAAGCTCCCAAGATGACATTGTCTGTCATAGAGGTCCTCAGAAACAAGGGGATTGGGGAAGAAATGATCCAAAGACATCCTTTTATAGACCAAACTTCAAGGCAGCCTGTAAGTAGTGAGAAGATGGGGTTCCATTTATATGATAGCACCTACATTGACATTTGAAGGAACCCATAATTTCTACCATCAAGTTAATGCATTCATCAGTCATTTAAACACGACTGTCAAACACATTGACTAATGGTTTATGGCTAATGTGAGATCTCTCAGAGATAAAGGGTTAAGATTGATTGGTCAACAGTAATAATCACCCTGGCTTCCTAAAGTAGCTATTGTTTATTGAGCAACCATGACAGTCAGCACTGTGGTTGAGTCTTTACACATAACTGAGACATCAGTGAATGACAGCCCAGCTTCTGGAAGCAGAACATGAGTCTCTGTTCTTTTACTGTGTGATTTTAAGCAATTACGTCATTTCTCTGTGCCTGAAGAAGTCTGTATCATCCCTTCTTCCCAGAGCAGAGGTATTTATCCCACAGCTCCTAGGACAAAGAGCACGGGGCCCCTGAGGGCTCATAGTGACCTTCCCTCCCAGAATTGCCCAGACAGATGGTAGCACCTCTGCCAAGATGCAGAGTTCTCATTGGGCAGCTGCATCCAATGGCTGATTGATAAGGGGTAAAATGGCCCTCCCTATGACCCAGCAATCCCAATCCTGGGCATCTAACCAAATGACCACAACCAGACTACACTAAAACTACCAGCACCACCATGTTCACTGCAGCATTGTTTACCATAGCCAAGACAAGGAATCAACCCAGATGCTCCAGGACAATTTTGAAGGGCCCACTCCGCACCAGAATTTCCCAAGGGGCCAGCTGATTCCAGATGTCTGCTACCATCTGGTAGCAGGGTTAAGCAGTAAACCCTTCCTCTCTCCCTCTCCAGATGTTACCAGAGCAACCTCAGTGAGATCTGCACAGGTGTGTCTCAGAATCCCTGACTCTGTTTTTCCAGAGAATTCATCATATCAGTAGTACGTGTACAAAAATATCCCTTTCCCACCTCTCCTTCACCTCTTCCTCCTTTCCTTATTCTTCCTCTTTGTCATTCCCTCATTTCTAATAAAGGCATATCAACACCCAGCTGGTCCTGGACTAGATTGTGTGTAATAGAAATTAGAGTATTTAAGTTAATTGAGGGGATTGATGGCCAGAGCATGATTCTAATAGGTATGAGCCACTTTCTAGAAAGCCCCACCA